AAGTCCAAAATAATACTTTGTTTGTTTTTTTCTTTCCCGTTTTTTTTGCCCCATACTCTATTATCCTCTTCCGATAACTTCTGATTTATTACATATCAAGTTATTCCCTTCGTTCAATTCATTTTTGTCCTTTTGTTCTAGATGATTAATTACAATATATTTCATCATGACTCATCATAATGATTCGATGAAAAACAAAGTAATGACGAAAATGTCAATGTGATCTATTCATACGTTTATCGTTTCATTTTTATTTTTGTATATTATAGTATGATGACTCGTCAGTGTCAACTCATCAGAGTCAACAAGTGGATACTAACATTTGAGTTCAATTGATAAAATAACAAAAGCAGAGATTTGGCGACATTCACTATCAAGAAATCAATCAATCTCTTGAACACACGACTACAATTAGTTGACTTAATCACCAAGAATTAAGGCGAATATCTATACTCATTTATCAAAATACAAAGATTTACAAGGCGAAAAATTGTTATCGACAACATGCTCCAAATTTGCCACTTGATAAGAATTCTTGTAAACTCACTCGAAATACTATTGTATTGTGGTAACTGTAACACACGACCAGATTATAGGTAAACAACTTACCTATAATGACATATTCGCCAATGCAATAAGACGTTCATATGACTCGCTATCACACAAGTATTTGCCACTTGATAAGATTTTATTTGTAAAATCGAAATACTACATATTTAGTATTGTGGTTACTATTCACGCTCACATCCAAACTACTAATGAGTAGCGGGATACTTCTTGTGAGTATAATACAATTAGATTTATTCTTATATTTCAATAACTATGATATTATTTCTTTGTTTTTTCCTTTGTTTCTAGTACCAAGCACAAGGAGTCACAGGAGAGAGTCATGTTTGTCAGTTTACATAGGTTTTCGATTATTTTTTAAAAATTACTTTCACAATAAATAAATAAATCAATAAATAAATATATATATATCAGATATAATTTGTTTACTTCATAGGAATCCTAATTCAACTTTTGTTAAAAATATCTGTGATTTATTTTAGATATAAAATATCTTCTATTAAAAAAGACAACGTCTTCTTCTATTACTTCACGTGCATTGATTAACTTTGTAGTATTCAAGAAAACCGAATGGCTACTTTCAAACTTCAAACACCGTTATTACAACCTGCAAAAAAGATGAAAAAATCATGGCATTTCACAAATAATAGCATGTATCATAAGAACATCCAAAAGAGTCAATTATCTATTGATAACTGGAAGACTTCATCACGGATCCTAGCAAATTATAGAAAAATGCCTGACAATCTATTCATACATCGACTATCAAACAGTATTCCTAGTCAGTGTGCAGTGATCCAACGGTCATTAACGAATACTACAATGTTACATTTTGTTCGCCGCCGTGCTCTACTCATGTGTACTTTATTAGAATTAAAAATCGAAGAAGATTATTGGAAACATGTTGCTGATGAAGCAAAGCCTACTGTAAGATGATTATCTCAAGCATCTAAAGATATAACGAAACGAAATTCCATTAACTGGGATTATCCTCGAACGGAACACAATATAAGACATCGACAAAGATTAATTTATAATAAACTACAACAAGTAGAGGCGAACTTGAAGGTTCATTTACAACAAAGTCCTCCAAGTGCAGTAAAACAAAATGAAATATCTATTGACGAATCAATGAATATCATTGATCACGCTCTTGCTAATCTCGTAAAGAAAGATCTTGAACAATGCGTGAATTATTTTGAACACAAGAAAACCATACTGAACTTCGATATTAATGGAGGCAATCAGGTCAAATCATTCTATGAATATAGTCCAAACAAGGAACAGGTTTTCAACCAAACCTACGACCATATTTTTACTCTTTTTCTTTCCTTCTAGATTCTTTCTGTTCAGAAACTTTGGCGAATAACGGCCAAATCATACCAACGAGCAATTACTCTAAAAAGAAATTCTTCATTGTTAACTAAACAAACATTTAAAAAAAAAAGGAATGATACAAAACCACTCGGCTCATGACCACATGAACGCAATTGGATTCGACTGCAATACTGGCCATTCTGATCAAAGTGTTTCAACAACTTTGCTTCAACCGTTCCTCGGTCCTATGCGCAATATTATTGAAGTTCGTCTTCTTAATATCAAACAACGAGCTGAACAAATTATGCTATTCATCAATACATCCTCTCACTAAAAACTGTGTGCTTTGCTTCAATATAAAACACAAAATCAAAATATTGTCCTTGTTCATCCATAATTTTGAATCCCAGCAGTGTTCATTATATGCTTTTCATTATCGTAAAATTATTCTTCCAAACCATAATAAAACTCATATAGCTATTAGTTTCCTTTATTTCAGATACATATCTTACCTGCTGAGGACCCTTAAGCAAGGTCGAAACCGGTCGTAAGTAGCTTGTGCTATTAAATAAATCCTATACACACCTTTATATTCAGGAATTTTTCTGGTTCCTGAATATAAAATTAGCTGCGACTTCTTTTGTTTCTTAAATTTTTAGTATTATTTCTTCTGAAATTTGCTAGAAATTTGGAAATAATTGTGATCCTTCTACAAAATATTGATCGACAGTTTCGAGAAGGTTTTGTTCTTGAAACTTTCAATGAACTGTCTCAAATTTGTAGTTAGGATTGAATTGCAGTATTTTAAAAATTTAGTAGCCGAACTTACCTGATGAGGACCCTTAAGCAAGGTCGAAACCGGTCGCAAGTAGCTTGTGCTATTAAACATATCCTATCCACACCCATACCCACACCCACACCCACACCCACACCCACACCCACACCCACCCACACCCACACCCACACCCACACCCGCCACCCCACACCCTCTTGAATTCTGCTTCTACAATGTCTAATTGGATAAGTGGATTCACTTTTTTTATTGCATATTGCAGTATTTTTTCGTTTCTTTTGAGTGACACTGGTGTGTTTTCATTATGACATCTGATACATTTCCCCTCACACTAACTGTTGTGCTGTCGTTGTGTTTCGCAAGAGCAATGAGATTGTCAATCTCATTAATATATTTAAGATTGATATTCAATATTTCAAGATAGTCTTGACTTTTTCAAAATAATTAACAGCATCTTGCCATTTTTGCTTATTGTAATATAAAGCCTACCAGTATTCTCTAAAAATAAAATCAATTCTAACGGTTTTGTAGATGAAATTCTTTGCTGTTTATCCAATGCTTGTAATTGATAATTCAATATATTATCAAATATGTTACATTTCCAACACGACCGGCTCATATCAATTATACAATAAATAATTATTGAATCAGTTAAATTAAATGATTTTTCAAAAATAACTAAGGCTTTCTTATAATAATCGATTCTTTCTACAACATTTAATGTACGATCACTCAGACTTTTTAGAGCATGAGCACTAAATAAAGTATCTTCAAATTCTATTATAATGTTTTGATAAAATTCCATTGCATTCTGATCTTCACCTTTTTTCATATAGATATCAATGATTCGATTCAAATCATCCATTAGATTCGGATGATCAGATGGTAAAATGTTTTTATCTATTTCAAATGCACGATAATAATAAGCAAATGCTTGCTCATAATCCTTCAGATCTTCATAAACTAAACCGATATTTCCCAAACAAGATGCAATATCAGGATATTGTGATGGAAGTATTCTCTGATACATACCTAATGCTTGATTCAAATATTTCAATGCAATTTGACATTCTTTTTCATCTCGATAGAGTAAACCAATACTATTCATTGCTATTGCTTCCAATTGATGATCAGTATCATAATTATTTTCAAATATCTTCAGAGCCTTTTCGAGGTAAAAAATAGCTCTGTCATAATGTTTTTTTTTTGATGGAGAACTATACCAATGTTCATAACAGATGTAGCAGTTGCTGGATGTTGTGGATGTAGACTTCGTCGACGTAGAATATACGCTCGTACAATACATTCTAAAGCTAAATTAGCTCGACATTTACCATACAAAGTAATTCCCAAACTATTACAGGTTGATGCAAAATCTTCATGAGCAGGTGATAAAGTTTTTAATAACATACGAAAATATTTTTCACCTTTATCTAATTGTCCTAATTCTAAGAATAACAAACATCCAAATAGAATTGGTGGAGTATAATCATTCATTTGCTGACGTTTTGCTTTTAAATAATCTTGAATATCATTTGATATTTCATTTGTTGCTGTCATTCGAATTTTACAACTATACAATGGTGAATCGAAAATAATATTGTCAATTTTAAAAACAGCTCTCAAACTGAACAGAACTTCTTGTTCACCATCTGCATGACTATAGGGATTAATATCAGCAAAAATAACTGTTTGAAGAGGACAGTTAGCTGTAATTTCAAATAAAATTGTCTTCATTACGATCGTATATGAACCAAGAAATTCTAAAGCTACATCAATATTTTTTGTTGTTGAAAAAATCCATTTGTTGACATATAACTGTCGATGCTGTGTATTAATATATCGTACTCTTCAACTGACATCCTTTGCCCACGATATAGCGTTCAAATTTGATTGTTTTCTCTATTCAGTCGCTTCTGTCGATATTCTAGTTGTAAACATAAATCAAGAATATAAAAATCGAAATGTATAAATGATTTCGACATCTTCTGTTCTTAGTCCTTTATTGACCAATCGATAGACAAATGAATTATGTGTGTACCATTCGATAGCTTGGTTCGCATCATAAGTAAGTTCAAATTGTTTAATTTTTCTCATTTCAATTTGATTTAATGCACAATATTCTCGACATGTATCAAGCATATCTTGTTTTGATCGATCAGTTTGAGGTATTTTTCGTAAGACATCAATCAATAGTTGAAACCATGTGAAAGATCCAAAGTCTTTCGATACATTACGAGTTGATTTTTGTTTGTCATGATTAAATGTGCTAAAGGTCAATGCTTGTTTGCTGATGAAATGTATCGTTTTTTGTATGGAATGCATTAAAGAATCTTGATCTGTAAAGACGTCAGTAATTTTTGAATATTCACTTAATAATGGAAGATAAGTTTGACGATCGTTACAAAAAATAAATATCGCAGTAGTTGTTGGTAATGAATGGATTTGAGGTAGGGCAGATTGTGATAATACGCCGGAAATAATCAAAAGTATTCTTTCTTTAACAATTTCTCGAATAAAATTTATACAATCTACAGGATTTGTGTAAATAAGAAGACAATTAGTGAAGTTTTCTAATATGATTTGTGTATCATAATTATCAAAAGTATCATTTACATTTGAATCTAGTCAAAATAATATAGTATCTTCAAGATTTTCTCCAGTTTCACTTGGTCGACGATTGTGTCGTCGTCTTGTATCATTATTATACATTGTACTAGTCGATAATCAGTTTAGTTAAATTTCTTCGAAAAAAGCACACATCATTGCATTTTATTAGTAACTTCTATTGCAAAAGTCTTTATACAAAATGCTGCTTTGTTTTCGGGTCATGCAAAAGTAGTTAGTAAGACTCAATATTTCGTGCGCTTTCCGATAATGAAGTTCAAACTTCTGTGTCTCTTTTTATCCTAAAGCGATGAAAAAATCTTTGGAAAGCTTAAAACTTCGTATAGACAATGAACAACGTGATGTTTTGCTGTCTCGCTCACGATTCTTTGTAGTATTGATAAAGATTGTCAGAGTTGATAATTTTGAAGCATAAGATCCGTTCTCCAAAAATCTCAACTGTTAATTTTGAACACCACTCATGAACACATATGAAAGGCTATTTTTACCGAGTAGCTGCCTAATTCGATTCATAAGATAAATACAGAACCATTACTATATATCTATCTATATATCCCCCTGGTCAAAATAAACGGAAAAGGAAGCAGTATTCCAAGACTGAACGAACTGGTAAAAAACTGTATCCTGGTCAATCTGTCTTCAGGAACAAAGCGGTCCCAACCGTATGAAAATAATTCATCAGTAATCAGAAAAAGTTTCCTTATGGAAAATATTGGAAACCAGAAAAAATTTCATTTACTTCCATAAAAGGGGAGCCAGCGAAAGGATTCCCGCCTATTACGATAACTTTCTTTAGAATCCATCACAAACCCGTAGAAAACCGTCATCATATCCAACAAAATCCTTCAAAAGTCTATATAACTGATACGACCGTTTCTCGACGTTTCCTATATCCCGTACAATTATCCAGAGCCTTCCCTCAATTTCCGTCGTAAACATCTCATCTGCTCATATTTTTCGACGATTAAAAAACGATTTAAAATCCATCAAAAATCCTTGCGAGAAAATCTTCAGGGTGGGCTATAGAAAAACCATAAACGCCTTCTGCCATTTCTTTCGTAGATTCACCCTACTTTGGTCGAAAAGAAAAATGCCGAAAGGTAAAAATGTCGAAAATAAAAACATCGAAAACGAAAACGGTAGAAATGTCGATAGGTAGAAATGTTAAGAATGAAAGTTTTCGGAAAGGGAAATCTTCCACATCCTCACCCTCACTCGCATGCCTCGCTCCTCACCCTCGTTTTACGCTTTCGACTTTTTTGTTTTCGACATTTTTGATTCTCTCTACTATGGTAGAAAGTAAAAATGTCGAAAGTAACATGACAAAAACTGAGGTATATACTTCGGAGTATTGCCTAATATAACAGCTATTCTTCAGATATTTTTACTTTGCATAGTTTGAAAGCGTCTTTTCGACATTTTCGGTTCCCTATATTATGGTCGAGAGTAAAAATCTTGAAAAAAGGTATAAATGTCGGAAGTAGAGACGTTGAAAATGACGGACTACAGCAAAAAGAATCACCCTCACTCTCACTATCACAACTCCACTATCATTTCTTAGTCTTATATTCTCACCCTTCGCCCTCATCATCATCTTTATGCTAGCATCTTCGCTTAAGAGCTACACTCTGTAAAAACTACTTTTTCAGTTCTGTATCCGAAAAAAAAAGAGTTTTGCAGCATAATACGAAACCTTGGAGTTCCTTATTAAACTTCGATGGTTTTCTTTTGTTTCAAGTTGCCACCGAATCGTACAAGTTTAAGACGAAACTCTAGGATTTCATATCGCGCTGCAAAACTCTTTTTATGGCTACGGAACGTAAAATGAGGTTTTTACAGAAGGTAGTTCTTTCCGCGGGCACACGGGAATATTCTTTAAAGGTTCCAGGTTTTTGAAATATCGTTTTTTGAGCTTATTGCCACTTTGGAGAACTATCTTAGATCTACAGAACCCTTTTTGAAGGGTTCCGTAAAACACTTATTTTTTTAGAGCTTATGAACATGAAGAATGAAAATCGTAAAATACGAGCCCATTTTGGCATAGAATTCAAAACATTTCAATGTTTCCATAGCTTATCAGTGCTGCGCGGCCAGTTGATTGCACTCAAGCGTTCAGTTTTTATCGGGCTTGAATTTGGTGTAAAATACTTGGTGGAATCATTAAACTTATATCAAAACATATTATTGAGGTAGTGGTTCCAATGGAAAAAAATAGTCATTTCCCGTACCTCTAAACTTATGGGACACTCTATATACCTAGGTCAACACATTCACATGATTTCCATTTAAATCTCCGAAACATCCATGGAGATATTATCTTGTACGATGGAACTGTTATAGATTTAGTCATAGAGGAAGATTATCCATACAAAGAGTAATGCAATCTTCTCTTCACTTCAAAACTGATCAACCACTAATGATATAAATCTGAATTTTAATAAAACATACTGAAGTATTTTTATTATTCAAAAAAAATTCGATTGATTTTATTTCTAACAATCCTGTGATGTTGGTTTCAGGCTGGTCACGTCGACACCAAGATCAGCGAATATTCTCTTACATTTATCGATTGTGGATGGCGAAAGCGACTTTTGTCTTCTATAATAGAATATATCCGCTTGGAATCACAATATGAAAAATGGATTAGCAACTTACGAAAGAATCCAAGCAAATTCCAATTTAATTTTTACGATGGGAAGAATTGAGCAAGAGTAGACAACTGCATACTCATTGTAGTTAGTTGAGATGATGTTATAGTCGCCTTTTTGAACTGAAAAGTGCACATTCTTAAATGTTGAAGAAAAAGAAAGACAGCACCATCTACTCACAGAGACCGAAGGTAACCTTTAAGGCGCCTGGAACATTACGATCTTTGACCACGGCAGAGCCTTCAATTTTAGTATATTTACCATCGGAATCAATTTGTTGGTTCACTACACCCACCGTCCCATCAGGCTTCGCGGTGTATGTAGCATTAGTACATTTGCCGCCCGACTGAAATATGTTGTCAATACGATAGACTTCATACCATAGTCCAGTATACTGAAAGTAATAGTTTCAATATAGAATTTTAACATAAGACACTATCCAAATACCTGACTAAGATCTACATCAGCTTGAGTAATAATCGTCGGACAGTTCGCACCAAATGAAGCACCAATGAAACAGAAAGCAAGAACAACAACAATCGTTGAGAGAGACATGATATAAGAATGCAATGCAATGCCTGTATCACATGTATTATATAGTATAGAAGCAATGGTTATATAATTGATCCAAAGTACATTCACCAAACTATGCGCACAATACCCCTGTTATTCAATATTTAATTAGAACGACGCATACAAGAGTAGCAGATGTGGGAACTTGATACAGGTGCTTAATGAAGAACAGAAAAGAAAAGTATTATAGAGGGTCTGTATTCGTTGGCGCTCCGTCAGAATGTGATTACACAACTATGTTGATGGTGAAGGTGAGTCTCGAATGTCACGATCAGGGTTTTTTTATTCTCCAAAAAAATACTTATCGGTTGGTCTAAGTCTGTGGTATTTGTTTTGAATGATTTTGAAAAATTACAAACGAAATAAATTTATCTATATACAGCATTACTCATAATTAACAAACAATAGATATGACTACTCGGTAAAACAAAAAAGGAGTTTTGCACAACCATTTTGTGAGTTCTACTATTGGATATAATTCAGAACTCCTAAACCTGGTTCTGTCTGAAAAAGAGGGTTCTGCTAGAAAATAAGGAAACTATTTATGTTTTGCTATTGAAAATGGTTCAGTTGTGTGTAAAAAGTGTTACGCTATTAAATTATACCTAGTATGCCTATATCATTACAAACAAATAACGCGGGATGTAGCTGGTCTCGCTTGACCCTCGACTGAATGATTAACGTCTACTGAATCTGCTGATTGATCGGTCTGAAAAAGTTTGTTATAGTATGATATATATTAATATTTTTTTAATTTAATTTAGATAGTAATAATGATACAATTAACTACACGATAAAAAAGGAAACATCTTTATGTACCCATGATTAATAATTATAAAAAAATATGAATATAAAAAACGAATGTGTATATGACAAGTATGATCTAAAGCAAAGTCAAAAAGAACAAAACAAATCTGTTATGAAAGAAATGAATAGATAAAAATAATTCTGAGATATATAAAAAATAATTCGTATTACACGAAATATAAACAAATTTTAGATTAAAATCAAACACAAGTAACGCGTCGGCCTGTTAGGCCTCGCTTAACTCAATCCTGAAAGGTGACTAAACATAAAATCACAAAAAACTATCGCTATTTTTAAGAAAAACTTTTAAAATGAAAAAAATTTGCTTTTCTTTGATGAAATGAAAGCCGAAATTACCATTCCACCTTTCAGGCTCAAAATTTGCATTCGAACTTTCGACTAATCAATTAAATACCTTTTCAACTCATACACCTAACAAATTAATGGCTTCTAATTTCATTCTTCGCCTGTCCTCCTATACATCATTTCACTCTCATACTCACTGCAAATTTTTACCAACACTTTCCGCCACTGCATCTCCATTTATACTTTTCCCTGTATATAACCATCACTGAAAATCAACATACTCCTCCATTCTATTCTCAGCTCACAAGATTATTACCATGAATCCAGACTCCATATTTATCTCATTCTCGGTATACTAACTCACACTCCATGCATAATCCCACCATCCTGACTTCTCCACAGACCTCTATATATTGTACCAAATCCCCGCATTCTGATCGGCAGAGTCTTCATCCATAGCTCTCTTTCCATGCAATGTATAAAAAGGTGTTAGAGCAATTCCTACCAGATTAAAAATCTTAAAATACTCCTATTTATCTAAACGACATATTTCCCTATATAAAATCTCAAGAACGCATAAATCATAATTATTTCTTGATCAGAGTTATAACTAATAAGATTTAGGCCATATTTGAAGACTTCTATAGTTTCTCGAATAGATTACTTGACTACTATTTGTTGGTACCTAACACTGTTGTAATACTTTCGAATACTATCGATTTGACTAGCAGTTTTCAACTGCCTTATTTCTAACAGAAATTTTGTGACATCTTTCAAATATAATCACCCTCTTTTGATTTTACAGTGCAGATGTTCGTTTTTATTTGATCGGTTGAGAAGAAACATGATCATTATTATCATCAAAGTTTTTCTCTCGAAGAAATTCATGAGTGAATCAAATATGACTTGTGCCTTCTTCCCAAAAAAGTTTACTTTTTTTTTGCAATGTGCCATGCTCCTCGTGGCTTTACCTATTGCTCTTTTACAGTATTTTTCAACTACTTTCTCGTTTATACAAAGCAATCTTTAGCTCAAGCTCGTGATCACAAAAAGGATGTAAATGATCAACATACTCTATTGACTTTTTTCAAAATGTTTGGGGAAATATATACCGATCCAAAAAAACGGCCTGTCCATCCATTTCTTATATTCGCCCCTTCGTTTTGTCTTATTCTAACAAACACGAATTCCCACGAGTGATTTTCATTGTTTCACTTCATTTCATTCTCGACTACATCGCGTACAAGCATTTTTCATTATATATATTAGTACTGACAACGTCAATCTATCATCTGCCTCAAATCACTTCCTACTTTTTTAACAGTAATATCTACATCCCAAAATCAGCCGCGCCCGTTTACTATATTGAACACGTCCGCCATTCTTACTCGTGTCATTTGACAGAGCATCTTTGTTAACCCCAAATCGGTATGCACAGCCTTTACGAATCCGATGTTTGTTTGACTCCTGGGTTAGACAAAGCCGATGTTCTTTTGACCTCGGACAAACAGACGAGCAATTTCCGTTTCCAATACTCATCCTTTCAGAATTGAGAATAATAACATGCGAAAAAAATATTTCTCCATTTAACGAAAGATAGTATCGTTCTAAAGATAACCGCATATAAAACATTTTGTTAGATAATTAAGCAATACGAAACACGTCCACACAGGAATGTGATACTATTGATAGGAACAACCACTATAGTAGTACTTATTCCTTACTAGACTGAAAATATAACTGATATACCATGTGAACATCTATATTCATAAATTTTAAGCCAAGTGTCGAGAAGATCTGTATTTATTTGGCGGGTATTCGGACTCTTTTTTTTAACTTATATTGTCCTATACTAAACCATTATGTTTTCATTTATGAATTGAAAGCTACAATAGCTATGGAACTACCTATTTTGTATTAGTTACTATTAATGTGAAGAGATAATCATGATTAAGGTTTCAACCAAAGGTTTCTTACCAAATATCAAAACTAACTGAGAAAATCGACTAAAAATGCAATAGTTCAGCAAGAAAGACACAGCAAATTAAATCAATTTAAATAACTTGCCTTTTTTTTAATCAGATTGTACTTTGGAAATATACTGTCAATATTGATGTTCTCTTTAGTCTATCTGCTCTTTCTTCGATATATGCAGAGCACACGAGAGAGACAAAAGAGCAAGACATGTCTTATGCATTACCTTATGATTAAACCCAACTTATACATCTACTCATAAATGTCACATAGATTCATAGGTCACTCTTTGATCTTTCTCTGTATCTGCCACAAAAAGGAAAGCATTCACCCATAGAACTTGTGAATAGCAACAATCGATCGATGGATCTCATCATAATGATCGACTTTTTCTTCGAATAAAGTAAACGAAAAATAACAACGACTATCAATATTTACATTGATTGAAGAGGCATAAACGAAAAAATAAGACGAAGAACTGGACAAAAATGTATAATCCATCGAACAATAAGAGCAACTGAGAAAGCAAAAACATTAGAGATGAAGACGAATCAGGTTGCATATAACAGAGTTTTCTAATATGATTTCCGAAATATTTTATGTTCATTTTCTAACTGTCGGAAAATGCTTTGTTTAACGAAAAAAGAAAAAAGAGAAGCAGTTGCTCAAGAATCCTAATCTTTCACAGTTTGTAGATCTTCGGTTAGCGGCTTGGATCGGCACTTGATTATTGAAAATTCATTGTAAACAACTCACCGGATAAGTTTCTTCTTTAAAAGATCAATTGAAAGTCTTGCAAAAAATCTATAGAATATACGATTTAATGCATCTTCGTCGCCTCTTTTCAATGGTGAAAACGCCAGTTCTCTAAATTATTTCTATCAAAAGTTATTGGAAAAATACCAATATTCATATAATCATAACATACAATAAAAACAGCTCTGTTTTTCTTTCTTTTTCGAAACTTTATTATGATGATACTGGTTGAATATCGATGAAATAGTTTAGAAAAATAGAGCATCAGTTTCTTGATCATTCTATGAAAAGAGAAAATGTCTTCAAACTTCGTACAAGGAAATAAAGAGAGGGTGTCATTATCATTTCTAAGCTTTAGAATAAAGCAAAGAATACCAGTTGAGGTTTATTAAAATAGACATTGCTTTCTCTTGCGACTCAAAAAATAACTCCTCATGAAATGATGAAGCTGCAGAACAACAGTGTAATATTTATCAATAGACTATATTCAAACACAGCATCATATCACCTATGTCAGGATTATATTACAAATAATGTCAATCTGACTTCTTTTATCCCGTCAATAAACGTGCGAACATACATAAAATAATATTTGACTTTGAAAACGAATTTCAAGAACAGAAGCAGCAGTTTTATATGTCATTCATTTCAAAGAGCGATGTGATTGCATCTTGGGAATTTCTGTCAATTTATTTCATAGGCATTATGAACCAAAAGAAAGACTCTTATTCAATAAAAATAGGATATATTGCTGCTGTAACATGATCAAAACCTCCACCATGAAAACTTGGAATAAGATTTGTTTTAGGTCCATCTTTGACACGAGTTATTGTTAATGTTTGTCTTTTTTGGAAACTTTCAATATTAAACAAAAGCTGATTTGGTGTCCATGCAAAACAATCCATACATTCATCTGATTTCCAATGAATAGTAACAGTATCACTTCCATTAATTCGATGTGGAGGTGCTATCAACCAAACTTGAACTTGGGCCTTTTCGTTCACAAGTATTTTCGTTCTTTGTGGATAATACAAAAGTCCAAGGGAATAATCACGACAAGAATCCGGCCAAGTTTTTGGTATCGAATCGAATAACTTCTCATCTGGTTTCCTCATTGATATTACGTTATATGATGTTGTTAGTTGTACAAGAAACCATCCCCGACGAACAACTTCAGTGAATCGAAGAGGAATTTGAGTATTTTTTATAAAATAAATTTCTTCACATGGATAAACTGCTCCACCGTAAACTTGACATGTTACATTTGAATACCAATAATCTTCGTCGGTAGAAGAATCAGTCGAATGTAACATCTCATATTTAAACTTAATATAATTGTCTACTTGAATTGAACTGGCATTAAGTTGCCAATGTAATGGAAATGAATTGAAGGTAGATCCACCATATTTCCAAAATGTTGCATACTGCCAACTATTTGATGGAGTATCTACTAATAATTGAACATAATATTTTGATTGTGGTGAGTCAGGAATTGTATATGGAAAATTTTTCATTAAATACGAAGTTTCTCGTACTGTAGCGCCATAAGTAACTGTTTTATAGGCTCGTTGATTCATTTCATCAATTGCAAATATTGTTTTATTATTATCAGGGGAGAAAACAATTTGGGAAGGAAAATATGGTTGAGCGGAGTCTATCAAATAGTAATGTAAAGCAAAACATGTTAAATATAGAGATATTTTCATTATTTGATATTTCACAATGATTCTATACTTAATATTCTTGCTTATAACAAGAATGGATTTGACCCACTATATATATATATATATTTGATTAATTCTCCTGCTATTTGATTTTTTTCTTTATGGTTGATTATGAAGGAATCATCATCAAGGGATGAATCGACAAAAAAACAGTATCATATATTTGCCATATGGCTTTTTTTCACATATACTATTATTTTATTGGCATTTTTCGCTTTTTTAAATATCCGAACGTAATGATGAAGTTACATATAAAATATCAATTAATCAAGGCTTTGTGTGCTGATAAACATTTAGAGAAACAGCTATAAGATGAATTTAATATTTATTTTGTCAAAAACTAAAAACACAATTTCTGTAGTTTGTATGATATAGATTATTAGTAAAGTTTTATTAAGATTGACAATAGTATTTTTGCAAAAAAAGTTAAAGACGCAGTTGAATATATTGAATTAATAATTCATCTTTAATCATCACTTGAATTTTTCGAGAGGAATATTTTAGAAAGTCGTGTTTGGCTTTATGAGGAGTCATTTTGTGTTGATAAAGTTTGATTTGCATAGTTTTTTTGAGTTCTGATGAACCCTGAGGTTGTAAGATCAGAATAACACCTAAATAAGCTTGAAGAATTTTATCAGTTGTCATGATCTCAATGAGCCGATGTTCATCTCGCAGACAATGGTCCATATCACAGCGGTGAGAAGCTGTTGAAAACAAACGATATTACATTTTTCAGTACAAAATTATTTTTGTCACAGTTATCTGAACTTGTTGGTGTAAGAGGTGGAAGCTTCTTATGTAGCTTGTGTCGAAGGATTATGTGGCGATTTAAAATTTTAAAACTTTTGATGTTTCGTTGTGCAGAAAACATTTAGTTTTGGTTGTAGAAATTTCAATCTCTTAAAATGAAAGGAATTTGTTACTAAATAGCCAGTTCTAGATTTTTTAAGAAAGGCAGCAGTGACGTAACAGAATAACTAGTTTTTGAAAAAAATCATCTATTAAAAAATACATTTTCATAAAATGAATCGATCACATTTGAAGTTAGTTACTATCTTTAGGTTCTTTATCCAGGTATTTAGAATTGATTAAGGATATAGACTTGTATAAGTTTTTAACTTAGTATCTTGAGAGTTTGATAGTTCGTTGAGAAACCGTATTCGTATTGATAATTCTCCAGTTTCTAAAGATGATAATGCTGGAGAGCGAGAGAGCTTGTGGATGTGTTGGGAAGTGTTGAGTAGTAATTACTTGTTTGCGTTTCGATTTATAGTTGCTCGTGTCGGTCAATTTCCCTTGGGAAATTAGAGTGATTATTTCGTATTTGTCAAAAGTAATTATACTCACTCATAATTTTTGTTCAGGACAACCTATTTTTTGTCAAATTCTTTAAACTCATCAACATTTCGATCAAAGGGGTGATCAGAAATCAAGAAATTTTCCCCACTCTGGGAACATTATAAAATGAGAGTATATGAATATTACAAAACATATTTGAATAGGAATAAATTTGAATTCTAGTACTTTTGGTTTAAAACTTGCGAAACAGATGTCTCTAGCTAATTATTTCTTCTGCAACCTAACTATCACTAATTTATAAGGAGTCTTTAATTTATTGCTAGAGATTGTTGTGAAATAACGCATGCTATACAAATACAAAATAATGATTGAATTCACATTTTAGAGTAGCTAAACCAAAAGTTTCTTTTTTTCTATTCTAGATATATATAAAATAAATTTATTACTATTTACATGTATCGAAAAAAAAAATAATATGGCATTTGTACAATCAAATCAACAATTAGTAAACAGAAAACAAATTTGACAGATTAAAGTAGTTGTTTGTTTTCGTACTTCTTCTAGAATAATAATAATATGATTTATTGGCATTTAATTCAATTATTAGATGTTAGTCCAAATGGAAGAGTAATATAAGAAATTTCGTATCTATGCTTACAATAAGAAAATGTTATATAATTTAGTTTGTATTGCCATTTTCTCGTCGATTAATACTTATTGATCGGCCATTTGAAAATGAAAATCAAAAGTAAGTCATTTTTATCGTCTAACATAGCTTTGTATTATTTCATATTGTAAATTTACTTATTCCTCCATAGCAAAAAGAATAAAACAAATGAAACATCTACTCATTATTATAAGTCAGAATCTGAATTCTCATCATCATCATTATCAGAAGATTGTTTTCAAACAGATGATGAGAATAATGATGAATATGATGAATCATTAGATCCAACATGGTATGCACCATCACCATTTGATTATGATCCATATGATTCACATGATTGGGAATCGTGAACTATTACAAACAATATTTTTTCTTTGTTTCTTTTTTTTTTGTATTATAAAGTGTTTTTTTTGTTGCTGTTCATAATTGATTAGTGGATCACGTTAAAGCAGGTTCATCACAATGAACCCAACTACTAAGTGTCTGTTAATTAACGGACAATTGTTAACGTGAAAAACTTTTAAAAACAATTTTTTTGTGAACATTTTTCGTATAAATAAACATGCTATAAAAGTGTTTAATAAATTTGTTTTGAAAAATTTATTCGGAAACAAAAAAAAACGATGATATACTTTAAAAGAAAAATCGAGGCGTATAATTTTAAAAAAATTATCCTCGAAGTTTAAGTTTCAAACAATCGTTTCAAGATTCGTGTTCAGTCAGTAAAACGAAACTTATCATTATCATTTCCTATGCTTGATAAGTTCTTGCACTCAACAAAAAAAAAAAAGAGATATGCATTCGAAACATGTAAAGTGGCCTTTCCGATTAAAAACAAAATACTTCGTGTATCACAAGTGTTAGTTTTCAAAATTTCATTTCATATTGTATCGTGTTGCTTTTCGTTTTTTTGTTAACAAATAAACAAAACAAAAGAGAAGGTTGATAAGTACTACTATATATGTGTGTTTTGTTCGTTAAAAATATTACAAAGTGACAGATTAGATGGTTGTGTTTATTGAAGAAACATTATTAAATAACTGTGACATATAAAAAAAAATGATACGACGTCGGTACATTAAAGAAATATGTATATATATTCTATTAATAACAAATTTAGGATGCAAAGAAAAACATTTAATTCATCCATAACAGGAGTGTCAGACTTTGGGGAACCTCTAATTATTGAGACAATGGAAATTCAATTTTTTGGCGGAATATATAAAAAAACAAAAAAGTACGCATAATTATTACTATTATATCACAAGATAACGCTCGTCGCTACGACTCGCTTGACCCTCGACTGAGCGCTTTCTATTCATCTTGGAAGTCATTGTCAAAAAATTTGCCGATATATGTGATGCTACTGCTGCTACTATAACATTTGATTCTAACTAATTCTTTATTTTTTCAAAATAATATTTATTGTTGAAACTGGAGCATTCATTGTTCATCACGTATGTCCAAAAGATCAGAAAAATGTAGGACTGCTGCCCCTCGATTCATTAATTTCACACTCATATATGTGAAATATCTCACGAGCAATAGATCACTACCTGTTAGTCGTTAGCTTCCTGCTCATAGATTGGTTTCGATACATCTACAAACAAATGATTTACCTGTAAATAAGAGACGTTGACACATATCTCGCAGAAAACTATTTGATTTATAGCAAAATAATTCTTGATAAGAATGCTAACGAGAAGTTTCCGTCGTTAACTATCGGCTATAACTTCAATTTCAAGATATTTCTAAATGTTCCGCGTCATATCGAAATTTCTGCATATCACACTCTTAATGCTTTCACTATTAATTACAAAAGCAGGAAAGTAGAAATAGTTAAATGAACAAGGATTGGATATTGTAAAAAAAATGCGTGCCTTAAATAAATTATACAGGCCAGCAACTAGTCGATCGTCGGCAGCCCTCTGAGGTGCCATTCACGGCTAGTCGCTACCATGTTTACATCTTCTATACCAACTAATCGTCCAATTCAGATTGCAATTCAATCAACTCTCATGGGACACTTTACGAAAGACTATTCTATTACTATAAAAAAAACTTCTCAATGAGAAATTTGAAACTAGATCTATTTAAAGAATGCCTTTGAGTAAAGTAACAAATGTCCAAGTTAACTAAGTGTTACCGTAGTATTTAATAGCTTCTTCTCTTTTATAACCAACGTTTAATGATATTCCACAAATGCATATAAATCGCTTCGCACTCTAATTCACAACATTTATATACAATTTGTTCAGTAATATTATTTGACGTTCGATTTCTATCGTTGCCGTTTGCGAAACAAGCCTTTAATGTTATATGAGCGTCTCAGTTATTTTTAGACTGGTTTTCAAAGCGATTATCTTTTCACTTTAGATCACGAAACATCCGCATTTTTTATCCACATAGAAGATATGTTAATACAAATGCGCTAACACATGCATTTCGTCAAATGCATGTTCAAGATGTTTCACTTCTGCAGAAAAATTTTTTCTCGAAACTGATTTAGAGAAAAACTTGCTAGTTTTTGTCGCTTTTGCATATGATACCAATTGATTGAACCACAAAGATAGGCAATTTTTCTATGAACTACGACACTGCGAAGCTCACCCCCGATTAATGGTACAGACCAGCAACTACTCCTTCGTCGGCACCTCTCCGGGCGCCACTCATGGCTAGCCGCTTTCATAGTGACGTCTACTTCTCCGGTGCATCATCTTCTGTTTATACTTAGAATCTAGTCGATTTATGTTTCACTCATTGAAACAAATAGTTGTACTTATGACAGAAGATATGCAGACTAGAGAATTTCAAACACAAGGACACATAGCAACAGAAAAATTCATTTTATTTCATTCAATTTTGCTTGCGACAGTGTAAATATAAATTCTTTGCGTGCTGCTTTCTGTCTAATGTACTATTCAGATATAGTGCCCATACAGAAAAACTGTTTTCATACTTAACTTGAAAATATTTTTTTAGTTTTTTGCCGGTTCCGATCCTTAATGAAGCTCAT